AAAAGCTTTTCTACACGATAATGGACATATGCAGTGCGGTATTCAGTGAAGACTCTGAGAGGCCAGGAGAAAGTGAGGAAAGACGCAGCCCAGAATACATACTGGGACAGATACCAGGGATGGTGCTCTGGGTCAGCCAGCACCATGACGTACTCCTTCAGGTCAATGTTTTTCAGGTGCATACCCTCTCTGGCTTCCATGTAGTCATCCAGGCCCTCATTGTCGGTGAAAAACCTGGCCCTCTGTGTCAGGTATGAGTTTTCAGACTCTACATTAGCAAAGCTAAAGCACTTGGTGAACCGCATCTTTGTCAGAGGAGACTTCTCCAGGCCCAGAAGCTGCTTGGAAACATCTTTGACTCCACAGTGACCGTAGTCAAATTCAGCCTCGGCTACGTGGGTGTTGACGCGCTCATGGTATACTTGGGTGCTGGTGTAAGCATCTCCGTTTCGATAGCGTGTGACCTGTCGTGTTCGGCGCACATAGTGGTAGCTGATGGCTTTCCACCAGATGCAGGGCTTCGCCTGCTGCATTCTCTGGATGCGCTCGCAGATGCCCTCCACATCCACTTTGTGCTGCAGCTCGTTCTTCACGTGGCAGTGCCAGCACTCCACGAGGTACACCAGGTAGAGCATGCCCAGCAGGGCCAGGGGGATGTAGATGTATCCGTCGGAGCAGGGGCTGCCGTGGTACGTCATGGATTTCCCTTTGAAGGCGCTGTCAAAGGTGAGCCGGGTCACCTTGGTGACGTGGCACCAGACCATAGCCCCCATGCAGCCGTACATGAGGATAGACAGGAGGAGGCATTTCCAAAAGTTCTCCCGACATAAGGACTTGCTCAGAGATTGCTTGAGGGGTCTTTGCTGTGAAAAACAAATGAAAAAGAGCCTCAGTTGTAGCAACATAAAAACCAACAATCCTGAACTACTTTGCTGCAAAAGGAACAGGTTTGGATATATTTTAAATGTGTGTATGATTTAAGCTTATTGGTCTTTTTTTAGGAACACCTGTTCAATTGCATACGGGGGTCTTCATGCACAACTATCTCTGATTTAAAGAAAATGGTGATCTGAGTGAAACAGCCCTGTTTGGCAGACACCAGAGGACAATGGACTGAGTGGTTTGAGACAATAGTAGCCCAACTCACTGTAAGACAGGGAAGTGGCCTACCTCCTCTGAACGCACAACACATCAAACATTAAGCAGATGGGCCACCGCAGCTAAAAACTAAGAACCGGAAAACGATAACATGTAAAAAATGTTGTCTGGATGAATGAGCCTCAATGTCAACTGCAACATTCAGAGAGTGTGATCAAGTAAAGGTATGGGAGAACCCTTAGTACCAATTGAGCATCATTTATGCACTGAGTATTGATGCTGATCATGGAGACTGCTTTATAACCACATTACATTGTCAAAAAAAAAACCTTTCAGCAGGAGGTTGTTTTTATGACATATTTTGCTGCTTAAATTACTTTTCTGAGTATTTGGTAAATTGTTTCTGTTGCATTTTATTGCACTTTTTCTCTCATATTTTGGTTTTTGGTTCTTTGCTGATGTTTTCATTTGCTTTTCATTCCTTTCCCACATGGTTTCAGTTTACTAGTTACTATAACATGTTTTTATATCCCATGTCACAGTCCTGGTGTCCTGCAGGTTTTAGGTATACATCTGCATTAACACACCTGGATCAAATGAATTACTCATCATCACCAAGCATCTTGCTGTCTTGTTCATGAGTGATGGCAAGAAGAAACAGGAAATGGATAAAGGGATTGAGACTTTGTCTCCAGCAATGGAGGCGCTGCTCCAATCTGTCACGGTGGCAAAAACAGGCTGAGCTAAAAACCAAAGCCATTAATTTTCTGGTTTATCTGCAGATTTTGGAATAAAAAGCCTGAAATGAGCTTCCTCTGTTGGATGGCTGGGCTCTGCCTTGGAGATAAGGTAAGGAGAAGCATCAAAAGGAGTCAGCTGAGGTGGTTTGGGGATCTGTTCAAGATGAGCCTTGGGGCCTCCATTTTCTGGAAGATCTCACTGAGAAGAGGCTCCTGGCAGAGCCAAAGTCATGTAGTTCCTTTGGCTTGAACAGATGGTCAGGAATTTAAAGCAGGTCTGTTTTAGCAGGTAAATCATTCAGGGCAGGGAGTCTGGTTTGCTAAGTTTCAGTTCATCAGCAAATTGTCTTTCAAAACAAGACCTTCTTGTAATCCGTTTAAGGGTCTCAATCAGTAGTTTTATATGTTACAGACTGTTTGTTCTTATTCATTTTATGTAATCCCAAAATACAGAAAAAGGGATTCGATTCCCCAAAAGCTTTTAGCTCAACCAGATCAACTTAACAATGACAAATCGCTGATATTTTTTTTCCCATTTTATAAAGCTAATATGCTGTAAACAAAGGGCAATCTGGAAGAAAATGTGATGAAAGCCACAAAAGACTTGAAAATGGGCTGGAGGTTCATCTTCCAAAAGGACAACAACACTTAGCATTCAACCAGAGCTGTAACTAAATGGTTTAAATCAAAGAATATTCACATGTTAGAATGGTCCAATCAAAGTCCAGGTTTAAATCCAGATGAGAAGAAGCTGCTGCAAGAGCTGAACATAATTTTTTGCAGTCTCTCCATCCAACCTAACTTAAGTTATTTTGCAAAATGAAAAATATGTCATAAATTTTCTGTCTTGGACATAAAAAGCTGATCAAGTCATAAACCAAAAGACTTTGTCTGGTATTGCAGAACAAGGTGGTGCTTTGTTTTCATCACATAAAGTCAAAAATACATCAAAGATTGAGGCTATAGCATTAAAAATATGAAAAAGCTCAAGGGCTTTCATTACTTTTTCATGGCACTTTGTGCTTTCCATTAACACCAGCAATGTGAAAATGAAAAAATGGAAAATGTGAAATTCCTGTAGATACAGCATTCTTTACACGGATGTAGCGTCGCTGTCTCATACTGTAGCAGTTTTTCAGAAACTACAGGCTTACTACAGTTTCTAAAGGTGACAGACAGGTAAGAATGCTACCTGAAAACCTAAACTCGTTTTCACTGAAATCTACAGTAGCATAGCACGCTGGTAATGAAAAAAAAAATCTCCACATGGAAGACCATGTGGCCTGGATCCATCTGCAGCATGGCCACATTGCATATGCGATAAAAACCATAAGAACCCCATTAAGAACAGACTCTCACCTCCTCCCTGGTGTCCTCCTCGTAGACGGTGGTGCTGCTTTCACTGGCTGTCGCAGCCGCGGCTGGGGGAGACATGGTGATAACAATGCAAGGCGTGGAGTGGGGATCAAGGAGGGATTTCACTGCCTTTTATCTGCCTCTGCAGCGGCTCTCATCCCACACGAGCCGCTGCGTTGGACCCGCGATCATCCGGGGACGTTTCCGAGAGGAGAGTCCAAAACAACAGCGTTCCTGTGGAGGCAGAGAGAAGGCGGAGGAGGAGGAGGAGGAAGAGGCGGTGTTGGTGCAGCATCCTGCCGGTGCCCTGCCTCAGCTGTCAGTGCCGCAGTGACATGATGGGAGATGATGCCGGATTAGCTGGTCGTTATTACGAACGGATGGTGCCCTGCCCCTCGGGGCCCGCTCTGGATCCACCGTGCAGCGGCGGGGGGGACGGGGCGTGGGTCCGCTGTCCACGGCTGCCTAACTGAGGCAGGTGGGACGTTGTTGCATAAATCCGCGACTTAAAGGGAAAGTCCAACCTCATGCTGACTTAGGCTTAGGTCTGTCTCAGTGAACAGAATATACTCGAAAAGCTAATATCAGTTGATCAATAATTAAAAAAAAGTTAATAAAACTCGCCACAAACCATAAAAGGTCATTGCTGATCACAGAGTGTTGTATTGGACAATTGAGTGGAAGGAAAAAATGTGGTTTAATATAAAGCACACGAGCAACAGGGGTAGTTGATGCAGAGCGTTTTCATTTTGTGGTTTTGTTACAATTGGTTTACTCTCTTTCTTTACTGTGATCTAAAGTTATGTATTGGTTAAGATTCAGATTGTGATCTTTAGTGTTTTTATTATTATTATTATTATTATTATTATTATTATTATTATTATTATTAGTAGTAGTAGTAGTAGTAGTATTAGTACTAGTAGTAGTAGTAGTATTATTATTATTACATATTTACTATGGTGAATATTAGTCATTTCATTGAGCTTCTCGGTTCCCAAACCACAGTTTTTGTTCTGGGCTTGGGAACCCAGAACAAAACCCAGAACAACCCAGGACATTTTTTGCTGCAAGGCCACACTGCTGCCAGCTGTGCTGTAGTGCAGCCCATGGCACAGTGTCAAGCCTAATGGTAGGCTTTCTTTCACTCTTCATTGGATTTGCTGAACCCTGCTGAACCCTCTGAATTCAGAATAGGGAATCTGCAGCTACAATTTCAGCCAAAGAGGTGCCAACTACTGGCTGAGGAAAGATGAGAAAAACGTACTTCACACTTGTCTGATTGGTTTTTAATTGAAAGCCATTCATAATTTCCCTTCCACTGTGATGCTCCATAAAGTCTCAATAAAATACGCTTATCGTTTTGGTTGGAACATCAAAAAAATTGGAAAAATACCAAAAGGTGTAAGAGTGTTTCCACTGTGCTTTAAGTGATTTGTTATTTTGGAGCTTTGCTCTGCTCTGTCAAGAGGAGAAACGGTCATAAGCTCCAGCCTTCATGGGCTCTGCAGATGTATGGATGAAAATTAATGGCTGCAATTTTTTAGAGATTTTCATGTCAAGCATAAAATAAATAAAATATTAAATGTGATAGTTGCATATACCTTCCAGGTTTGCCTCTTAGAACTATACTGTGACCAATTTTACAACCAATGAAGATTATATTGCCTTAAGGCAGTGGTTCCCAAACTTTTTCATCCAGACGGCTTCCCGCGCCCCCCCTGCAAAGGCAGTTTGGGAACCTCTGCCTTAAGGAATAATTTATTGTATGCATAAAGAATGAATATAGTCAATTAATCCTAGTTCATGTCTTTTTTTATTTGTTTATTCAGAATGATTAAAATGAATGATGAGAAACTTCATCCTCTCTGTCTTTAATTCATTTACACCTACTTGTTATTGTTACTCATACAACATTGCTTTTCTAATATTTGACAAAATTGGTTTATGAGTTTCATGAGCATGTTTTTGTAAAAATGTCCACTCCAATCCAGTGAAAATGCTAAAAGAATTAAAAGAAATTATCACATCCATCCATCATAATTACAAAATGTTTACAAAAACGCTTCAGATGTCAGCTATGACGTGTGTGACAAAGTCTCATGACTTTCTGGCTCACATTCAATTTACAATTTACAAAAAAGAAACCATCGTAAATTACAAAAAGTACTCCTTCTGTATCTCTGAGCAATAAGGAAACATCTTTACTGAGAAAGCATTAGGTCAAACTGAGCTGTTGCGTGTGATTAGTGATGCCATGAGATGACTTTTGATGTAAAATGACTTTTTATAAATAATCAGAATGAAGCAAAAATTTATAATCATCCGCAGGTTCCAATGTTTTTAGAAATATCTTAGAATTTTGTTAGAAATAATAATTTATAAAACATTTTCATAACCGAATCCAGAATATGCAGATATATCACACAACTTTCACAAACTAATATGTTACGATGAGCCATAGAGATTTACAAACATTGATAACATTATGATAATGCTTCATACAGTTGATATAGTAGTTTTTGAAGTAATTGTTGATTTCTCAGTCTTTCATTTTTAGGTATGGTGTTAAAATGTTGAGATAGCAGCATCACAAAAAAAAAAAATCCGTTTGTTTAACTGTCTTACTAAAAAAGAAAGTACAGTGGACTAGGATGTAATAAAAATGATCTGGCTTAAATAGTTTTAGCATTAGTTAAATCCAATGTCAGTGAAAAAACACAACTGTCATTATTTAATGAATGAAAATGAAACCCAAATGGTAAATTTGGTTTTAAAAATATAGCAATAATAATTTAAAAAAAAATCTAAGTACACCCTTAAAACCTTCATAGGTTTTAGGGAAAGTCATACTCAAATGCTCTCTTCCATATTTTCACTGATGCAACATAAACCGCCTCCCTCACGTCCTAACCCCTCTACTACTTCTATTATTATTCACAGCCTCATCATACAGATTACTGTAACTCTCTCCTTCTCAGTCTTCCTCACAAATCCCTCCATAAGCTTCAGATGGTTCATAATTCAGCAGCACGCATTATAATCAAAAGCCCCTTGCTACACCATGTTGTCACTGTCTTTCAGCGACTGCACCGGCTCCTAGTTAAACCGACTCTTCTGTGCTCATTTAAAATCATTCACAGCCTCAGCTATCCTTCTCTATCAGATCTCTTGCACATTGCCACCCCCAGCCATTCCCTTATGTCATCCTCCTCCTCCGTCCACCTCACTGTGCCTTCCACCTGTCTCAGCACCATGTGGAGTCGAGCACTGAGCCCCAAAATCTGGAACTCCACCCTGGCAGACGTTCACGCTATAGACATTCTCTGTTTGAGTCAAAACTCTCCCATTTAAGATACTTTAATCTTTCTTAAACAAGGTGTCAACACAATGCCAAGACGGAAAGACATTACCAATGACCTTGGAGAAGAAGCCATTGCTGCACATGTATCTCTGAAGGATTATAAGGCCATTTCCTAAATCTTTTTGTCTCTAGATAGACTATGGCAATGAATGACACATACACTCTGGAACAATATCCTTTGTGCAGATGAGACCAGAGATGTTTAGCACCACATTTGGAGAAAACCAAACACAGCATATCAGCACAAACATCTCTGTGACCTTCTGTCGAGCACAGTAGTGGAGGAATGAATATTGTAACTTGTTTTGCAACCACACGATCTTGTCACTTTCCAGTCAACTGTACATTTTTCTGTATATAGAAGAAGTCTAGAGTCAAGTGCAATGCCACCTTTCCAACAGCTGAGGCTTGGACCAAGATGGCTGATCAGTAGAACACATCAGAACACCAGAAAGGCTAAAAATGCAGTAATCAACATGTGGTGGGACCTCAAGAGAAGTATGCTAGAAGTAATGAAGAGCAATGTTGTGAATAAGAATAGGTGCAAGAAAAAATCTTCAACAAAGTTGCAAGCGACTGTCACTCGTTGATAGGGTGTACTTAGTTTTTTTTCTTACAAATATTCATTTTTGCAAATAAATGTTAGTACATAGTATACAACCTCTTGTTTGTTCTTGTAGGCTGAAGGGTTTAATTTATGTAATGAAGTAGTTAGATCCCGATAAAGACCAGAGTGACCTTAGCATTAAAAATGGGTGTACTTTCTTTTAAGCTGACTATACTAATTCATCTCATTTTGTCTGAAGCACTTTAACAAGAATAATATTCCACAATAATCAGTAAAGAATTACTCCTTTCATTGCATTAAGTCTCTAAGAAGTGTCCCAGATATTTAAGAAGGGCATTGCCTGACATGAACCGTCACTCCTTTTCCCAGGGTCTTCTTCTCTGATGACGACCCTTCAGTGAAAGAAAAAGAAGTGATGTCTACATGGAGTCATATAAATATATACCAGGCTTGAGGGCAAAAAAAAAAGAATGAAAAGCTGGACCAACTTACAGAGTACATATTAGAGAGGTTGTTGAAAAGCACTTGACCTGCGCTCACTTTGTTCCTCACCCCTCGGATGGTTCCGTTCTTACTGCAGATGTTGATCCTCTTGTTGCTGAACATCATCTCCCTCTTGACACTGGCATACAGCAGCAGGTCATCGGACTCGCAGCCGTTCTCGTCCGCGGCAGCCTCCAGGCCGTTCAGGTGCCTGTTGGCCTCACTGGCGGGCGGCAGACTTCCCTGCTCTGCCTCCATGCTGCCGGTGCCGTCCGAGTCTGCAGAGTCAGAAACCGAGCCGCACCAGGTCCTCTCGTCCTTGAACACCTCAGCCAGGACTCGGCCACTGTTGGCGGACGCGACTCTGAACCGGACCGTTTTCCCGGCTTTTTCTTTCATCTTTGGCCCATCCATTGAAATCCAAGAAAAGAGTCACATGCATCGCTTCCCATTCAGACAAAACAGAGTGGCCCTTTCTGCTCAAGTCATTGGCAGTCCACTTATTCATCCAACAGCAGGGTTCTCACAGGTGTTTCAAAGGAACTGAAAATACCCTGAGCACACACTTTGTGTGCTCCCAAATACTCAATAATAGATGTGCCCTTGTCATGGTAACAGCTAAAACGGGCAAAGTGTAAATCGATATGATCGTGTTCAATAATTGATCAAGGTCAGCACGCACCTTATGTCTGATCCTTTATGGTCTGATAACTTACAAAGTCAGGGTAAACACCTGGTGGTCTTAGATGATCTTTACAGCAATGTTCATCATGCTGGTCTGAGACTGAATTAGTGTTCCTCCTTTTACACACTCAAGATCACCTCAACAGCAGAGCCACTGACAGGAAAGTTTGTTTCAGTCCGAGAAAAACATGGAGTAAATGTATTATTTCTGATGAATTCTCCTTCTGATCATTTAGTTGGATCTGGAAAATCATGCAATCTGAGAAGAAAAGGTAAGAGCTTGCATGAGCTCAATGATAACATGGACTGCGTCTCATCCAAAGGCGTCGATGTCCTCCCAAAAAGAAAAGATCTAAATCTTCATGAGCAACTTTTTCCAACCACCCAGGAACGGTTCAGAGATGATTTTTGCATGGTGGAGCACTGCTTCACAACACAGAAGTTACAGAAATGCTTGAATATGAGAACTTTCTATATTGAATCTCAGATCTTAAGGCTATTGAGGACATCTTCCAAATTGTCCAGGATCGGCTTTGGTGATTTCTTCATTTGTTTCAAAAGTTAAAATGATACCAAACTCTCTAAATCCTGGTACATTACAATTTAAACTCCCTAGATCTTAACCTCACTGTGTGATCATGATCAGTTCTCAAAAGGCATGTGGAGAAAGAGAAGCCAATCAGCTGAGATCAGTTTCAAGTAGAGGACAAAAACACGTGACCACCAGTTAGGATTTGATCTGAAAGCTGGTATCAAGGATGTCTAGCTGAATAATAACAGGTACAACAATATAAGCATTAATACTGGAAATTTACTCTGCTCCTGAAGTTGAAGTGAATGAAGTTACCAAACAGAGTTTCTGCAAAAACATCATGACTAAACACAGAATGGTCGTAACTTAATGATGAAATATGTTGCGTAAATCCCCTTTTTATTACCAAAAGTACCTTGACCCATTGAGACATGGACTTCAATAAAGTCCTGAAGCATTTTTGTTCTCTGGACTGGTCAGCCTCACAAAGAGGCCACAGCAATCAGGAAATACTTTTTCCATTTGTCATTTTAGTCCAAGATTCCCCAGCAGAACATTGACCAAAGCATGGCATAGTATTTTTCTACTTCTACTATATCGGTTTTGAATTAAAACAAATTCCTTTCACTGCTCACTTAATAAATACAAGGTGCCATAATTATAAGATATTCTAATTGACATGAATTACGTAAGTGTTCATAATGTTATACCTGACCAGTGTGTTAAATATTAAATGCGCTTTATGTGCAGTTCTGTAAATCTGTCTAGGAGTGCTTCTGTAAATGTGAGACATCCTCTTTATTCACCGTAAGTGGAGCGGGAACCTGCAGTACCGCTCTGCTCCTGTAGGTGGCGATAAAGACGCTCACTGAAGCACAACAAACGTAGAAGAAGCTGCACACGTGTGACAACAACACCTCAGGAGTCATGGGGAAGCGGCGGCAGAATAAGCAGCTTTTCACAAATCTATCCAAAAAACAGAAGAAACACTTGAAGGAGTTTGGAGAGGAGCATCCATTTCACGATGTGTAAGCATTATAACAGAGAACAATCTTTTTTAAATGAAGAATTGCGTTTTATTCTCAGTTAGGAATCTACATTTAGTTCAGACTACCTTCAAACAAGCATTTTAACCTAAAACACAAAATAAACGCGTAATAAACGTGTCTAGCTATTCATTTGAATAGTCAGGGTTTATTTTGTAGACCATTATTATCTATAGCAGTTTATGTTACTTCTTAATAAACGCGCGAATTCGCAGTAAAGGACGAATATCATTGTTTCTCCTACGAGGGTTTAAGAAATTTGACTGCAGTATTTTCCAGGTCTTGGTATGCAAGGGATAAGAGAACGGGGAACATTTAATATTAAGGACTCATGAGGAACATTTTATATTAAATGTACCCCGTACAGGTCAGTTTCTGCTCTACTGTCTAAAGTTGGATCTATCTGTCCTTCCATCTATTACTTTGTGTTGTTGTTCTAATTTGCACTATATGAATACCAATAGATCACAACAAATCCAAAAGGAAACAAATCCAATGTGTTGCGGAGATAATAAGCCCCAGGAGCTTATTATGACTTTCACCATCAATCCAGCTGTCCATCCAACTATCCATCTAGTCCCTCATGAGTCTGTCCATCAGGTCATATCAGATCTGTCTTTATCTCACTGCTGAATTTACTGATGTGTGTTTTCTACAGTGTGAATGAAAGACCTGAAAGGACCCAAATTGTGGAGCTGGTGAGTGTTCCTTGAGTTTCCAGATCAAACACCAAAATAATTGTAATGAACAACCATTTATTTAAGTAATAATCCTTCCGAGTTTCTTATCTGCTCCAGGTTTTGAAGTCAGTTCTCAACACTTTGGGAATATTGAATCGTAGCTTTGCTTAGATTTAGTTTTACTACAAGTATTTAGAACTGTTTCAGTTTTTTTAATGTTTTTTTGTTTGTTTGGTGCAGCCATCAAGCCCAGAACAATCTGACTCAGAACCTGCAGACAGGGAAGAGGAAGAAGATGAACCAGAGCAACAAACTGCCTATCAGAAGCTTCTTTCAACGCTCAGTGATCCCACAGCTGATGCCCAAAGCCACGAGGATGAAAGCAGTGACGACGAAGAGGAAGAGCTCCTCTTTGAAGGCAAGGGGATTTTTTTTTTTTGTCTTTAAAAAATGTTTGACAACAGTTTGTGCTTGACTAAAATAAGAGTTTAATGTGCATTAGAGGGTCATGTTGAGGGTGAGGATGCAGAGGAAGAAGAACATGGAGAAGAGGAGCCTGGCGATGAAGAGGAGGAGAGGGTTGATGAACAGAAAGAGGTGGCAGGAGACAAAGAGTTTGTGGACAAGGAGCATGAGTCTGCATTCTGTCTGGAGACCAACTTTATAGGAAAAGGAGAACAGGATGAAAACATTCCACAACTCAAGAACAGTAAAGGTAAGAGCGGATAGAAAACTTAAATAATAATTTTTTCTATTGGTCTTTTTGGCATGTTACATTTTGTCTTTTATTCTCTTTTTTTTTAACAGACATGTTTTTAGTCCATCTGGATACCGAACTCACTGAAGAGGATGTGCTTAAAATTACATCTGGCTCCAAATCCAAAACTCAGATCACGGTATACACAAAGTCACCTTGTCACAGCTTAAAGCAGCTTTTAATTATATTTTTATTGATGATTTCCTGCAGATTGATTCACGTGATGGGAATACTTTTCCGTTGTACTGTGTGTTGCACTGAGCCACTTCTAAGGTTTCTCTGCTCCCTTTTTTTTTATAGTGGGCAAAACTGGGAAACCTTCTCTGCACCAATCCTATTGAAAGGTTCGGCCCCATCGGCCCCCAAAAAGACACAAACCAAACTGTTTTCCATAAAGTTTTGGAGAGCAGCTGGAGGAATCTGAACCAGTCATTCAATCCTAAAGGACAGGCCGAAGAGATCAGCCCCCTCCAGATGGAGCTACTGGCCCTCATGGCGTCCTACAAGGACCTGTATCACCCAGAGGCGTGCCATTTGAAGCAGGGCTCATATGTTCGCAGTGCATACTGCCTGCATGTGCTCAACCACATCCTGAAGGCCAACTCCAGAGTCCTGGCTCACAACACCCTACTGAGAGAGCGGAAGAGTCAGGCTAAAGCTGGAGCTGAACCGCAGGAAGAACCTAGAGACCAGGGACTGACCAGGCCAAAGGTAAACAACTAAACACACGTGTCAGGTCAGTTTTAGCTGCAACTTTTTTTTTAATGAAAGCGTCAGAGATCTCTTCTATGAAAATATTTAGTTTTTTTAGAAATTTGTTACCATGTAACATCCAAATTAACTTGGAAAACACAGAGGCTCGCCAGAATTGATACATATTTCAGTTGGACTGACCTTGAGAAAATTAATATTTTACATTTTTTGTTTCACTGATGAGTGAATACACCTCATCAAATCACCATCAGGCTACAGAAACAAGAAATAGCTTTAGTTTGGACGTTACTTCTAAGTGAAGAAGGCTCAAAGTTTAAAATTTAACATCCATGATTGTCAGTTTTAACAGTAAGTTTTTATTTTATTGTGCTCTCACTGTTGCCTCTGCTTCTAGTAAGACGTAGAAAAAAATAAATGCAGTTTTTATATTTCAAAAAAATATATATTTAAAAATCTGTATGCACAAGTCATTTTTTTACATAAAAATAGTGGACAGAGTATAGCATATTTTAAGGAAAACATATGTAGACCTCTTATATTCCCGATTGTTGAACAGGGTAGATCCTGAGAAGCTTTGCTTTTCAATGTTGTGGAATATTTTCTTATTTTTCTTTTGTCCTCAGAGAAAATAAAATCTTAACACATAGAAGAAACCCATTGGGATCAATTTATGAATCTCTATAAATTCACACAGACACTCAGCCATTGGACTAAAACTTGGTTAGGAAGGAGTTTAATTTAACCCAGACCACCTACAGAGCATGTAAGGATCGCGACCACTTTGTCCCAGGTTCTGATCCTGGTTCCGTTCCGGGGGGCCGCTCTGCAAGTCGTCCACACTCTCATCAGCCTACTGGAGACCAAAGGCAAGAAGATCATTGTCAGCAACAAGAAGAAGTTCAAGGAGGAGTTTGGAGAAGCAGAGGAAGAAAAACCAGCCAACCTGCGCCGGCCTGATGATTACCACGCCGTCTTCTCTGGCAACGTGGACGATCACTTCAGGATAGGTACGTCTTCCAATAAGGAGTTCCTAAAAACCTCCGCCACTTATCTGACCCTACATCCTGATGGTTCTGCACTCTCCCTC